ATTGTCATATAATTGCTTCCCAGTGTTTTGTCTGTCCTAGGGGAACTTTAGTATAAACAGCTACGGTATATACACATTAAAAAAAGTACTGTCTCTTAGTCGTAACAGACCTTGCCAGGTAAAATAAATAAATATCCAGAAGGTCCCTGAAATAGAGGAGCTTTTGTACTCCATCTCCGGCAACCAATTTCTGCTAACTTCCCTCTGTTTCAGCACTGCAGCTTCTGTAACGCTCTTTTACATACGAATGTCAGATGGCTGTGTGCCCTGCCAGGCACTGCGCCTCCATCCTCCAACCCAGCAGTGATCTTGGATTTGGAAAATGGAACCATGGCATACAGTGGGAGACATCTGACATTCCCAAGAGTCAACTGTCGAAGAGTCTTATGGAGGCTGCAAGCAGTGTGTGTATTACAAACATACCTTGTTGTGCATTTGTGGTGTGTGACATGAATTAACATTGAGATCATGTTACAATTTTATCATCTGTTCTTTTTGCAGTTGCAGCAACCACAACAGACTTTGATAACTCAGGTAAATGTTTTGTTTTGTCTTGTCTGTGGTGCTTGTCCTTTCAAATGTATTGTTTGAGCATGCAATAAAGAGTTGAGTATTTGTTAATGCTGCCAATATTTTATCTTTGTGGTTTGCAGCCTGCTGTTGCACTGCCGACAAGTCTCGCCCTGTCCACTTCCCAACAGGCTGCACAGATAACGGTCTCCTACCCTACTCCCCGCTCCAGCCAGCAACAAACACAGCCTCAGAAACAGAGGGTTTTCACTGGGGTTGTTACCAAGCTCCATGAAACATTTGGCTTTGTGGATGAAGATGTGTTCTTTCAACTCACGTATGTATTGTTTGCAAATAAAATGGATATAGGAGTGGAGCTAGAATCCTCTGTCTGTGGGCACCTTTCTATTTGTTTCTCTTTTAATAATGCTTTTTGCCATTTCTTTCTGTATATGTTATGGATGTCATAACTTTATAAGGGGTCTTTTAAGTTAACACATTTTCCAAGTAAATTGTAACTAGGTCGTAAGCTCAGGTTGTGCTTCTACTATTGCTGTTATTATACCAAGCAGCCTCTGGAATGTTTCTATATTTTGCAGTGCTGTTAAGGGTAAGTCCCCACAAGTTGGAGATCGAGTTTTGGTGGAGGCCACCTATAATCCCAACATGCCATTTAAGTGGAATGCACAAAGGATTCAGACTCTTCCAAACCAGGTACCTTGATATCCCTCTGCTTTTCCCCTCCATTTTGGTTGTTATTTTCTCTGCCTTACATGGACTGCTTTATCTTGCTCTAGAACCCAGCTCCAGTACAGACTTTACTGAAGAACCCACAAGGAGTTATGCCACCTGTTGCACAACAGCCTCCTTTTGGGGTTCAGACTCAGCCTCCTCCACAAGCACAAACCTTGCTTCAGGCCCAAATTTCCGCTGCTTCTCTAAATCCATTACTTCAGCCGCAGCCATCTCCGATGTTACAGCAACAGCAGCCAAAAGGTACATCGCATTTCCGTTCCACTTCAGAAGTTATTCTGTAACTGTTCAAAAACATGATTATCCCCTAAAAAATAGAAATCCCTTGAGCGGAGTTGGTCTCAGTAAACAGATTGCATATATGTATAGTTAATGACAAAATGTAATAATGGAAAAATACATGTACAAACACCTAATACAAAAACATCTAAAACCATTAAAATAGCTTCCCTAGGGGTCACACTGGTTCAATGGTACAGGTTTTAAGACTGCGGATCTCCTAAGTAGCAGGAAGTCTCTGGAATGAACACGATGGCGTAACAAAAATAGAAAAATACAATATCGAAGCTGTACTCACAATGCATGTAGCTTCAGAGGGAGGACAGTTCTGATCCGATCCCACATTGATGTGTGAGTATAACTGGTTTCAAAGAAATGTATCCGTGTGAGGCGATATGGATTCCAGAGAATCTATTTGTATCCAAGGGCCGGAGGCTCAGTAGATGCCTATTCCTCCGCTAGTTTGGGACTCACATCAACCCGCAGGACTTCGTTCCAGGTCCAAGTAAACATCCAGGTGGTATTACAACAAGTGCGGCCGCACAAATGGATGAATTGCGGTGGAGTCCCCACGGCGGAGTGATCGGATCCCAGTGGGGCTGGAGAGCTGTATGTGAATGCACTAGTGGGTGCCTGCTCGCTTTGCTCGGTCTCAGCTGCGATCTCAGCCAACTTCGCCACTGTTGCGTTCAGACAAAGTCCGGACCAGGTTAGCTCCATCTTAAGGATACAAAGGCACTCAAGGTATCGTTCTCACCTGACCATGTAGGCAATCAAATGGTGAGTATCCTGGGAAGCTAGTGCACACGCTACCCTGACGCGTTTCCCCCCACAACCAGGGCTTCTATATTCTGTAACTGCTACTCCACAATGTCCATGGTCTAGAGTAAATTTAACTATGTGGATTCTTAAACGCATTATGTAATGGCAATATAATGTTTCTCTAGCCACATACTGACCAATTTTTAAGGTGATACCAGGCAATTTTAGTAAATCAAATGCTAGGATGGCCAAAACCATTTTTGATTCTAACAAATCTTTAAGCTTAATTATTTGACTGCAGGAGGGACTCTCCCTGTTGCCCATCAATGTCTACATTTGCTTTTCTAAGCTGTTCTAGAAATCTATGTGATAGACTCTGATTTGTTGTAATCACAAGACAGGCAGTTGTGAGACCCCCAAGAGGAACTTCTAGAGAGATAGTGAAAGTTCTTCTCTAATGAGATTGGAAAACTCAAAGTAGGCATCTAGAAGTCTCCTTTTATGTGTAACATAAATCTCTGTGTATATTTTTGTAGTTGTATCTTTTACATTGACATATACAGTATTTGATATTTCACTTAAAATATAAATCCATATATTTACTTCTCAGTGCCATCTTGGTTTTCTTGATGTTGGTCTGTTACTGTACAGCTTCAGTAATTAAAGTATTTTGTTACAGTAATTAGTACTTCTGCTGTATCTAATTCTGCTCCTTCTACTCCCCCTTTTAGCTGGCTTGTTACAAACTCCTGTTCGCATTGTATCCCAGCCGCAGCCAGTGCGAAGGATTGAACCACCATCCAGATTCACTGTCAGGAGTGATCGAGGAGATTCTATTTCCAGTAGAAAAGATGACAGAAAGTGAGTTTCAACTGTATCTTATTGAAGCTCAACTCTAGTCTCAATTTTTTTTACCTGCCTTCAGTAGTGGATTATGTCCTGGCTCTAGGTGTAGGAGTTCAAGAATCTGCCTCAAGCAGCTGGAATACCACAATGATTTTTGAGGCATGTAGTCCCTGAGCGGTGGTGCATGTAACTGTTGTGTGACTAGTGTGCATTCCCACAGCCCAATGAGAGGAAAGACCTTTATGGGCTGGGACAGTCAAGTCACTGCAAATTTATTGGTATTGAAGAGTCCAAAAATGCTTTTACATTGAACAGGGGGAAATTGGGGGTGTGTGGCATTAAATGTGTGGACATGGGTATGGTATCTGGTTTTTGTAACACCACCACACATGTAATGCGGGAACAGGACACACTGAAAACAATTGTGTTTTTTTTTTAAAGTGGGGCTCTGTTAAAAAATGTTCTAGTCAAATGATGGTGAAATATGCTGGGGTGAAGTGTTGATCACTACTGTTGTCCCCTTAACTGCCCACCATGCTGTAAAAGTGATCATCCTGCCCATGTTGTACTCATTTATATCTCAGGGTCATACTGCTGTGCTATGCCTCGCTGTCATTCCCTCCAGCAAACTGTCATACCTCTCCAGTGCTTGCCCTGTATGTTTCGAAATGTAAAAACTGTTTAATAAAAAAAAAAAATTCTAGTCTAATATAGATTGTGTGTTCTATAAATTTAGAGCCAGAAATTCCAATGGGCTCTTCAGATTACTGCAACTTATTGATATATTTACTTCATGGAAGAAATTGATGAGCCTGTTCTTCGCTTGCTGGGCTCCTGGGAGGCCTTGTTGCTTTAGCCTCATTACAGTATTCATAGAACCACTATATAAATAGCAAATTAATCAGCCAAGTAATGCAACCTGATTTTTGTTTTGGCATACTGTACAGATGGAAGAGTTGCACGTGTTCAGTGTTTTTCAGCTCTAGAGTTCAATAAAGAAGTCACTATTAAGTACAATGATATGGGTTTTTGTTTATATTTGCAAACAGCTTATGTTTGGAGATTCTGAGATTTTACTTGTGAGAATAAAATAAGGCAATACCGATGTATGTTTTACGTAAACTAAAGGTTTTTTGCATAACTATTATTTAATCTCTACATTGTTAAATTTTCAAATCTTTTCTTAGCCGAGAAAGAGATCGAGACAGACGCCGGTCACGTGATCGTTCTCCCCAACGAAAGCGGTCAAGAGAGAGATCTCCGCGACGTGAGAGGGAGAGATCACCGCGCAGAACCAGACGTGTTGTCCCTCGCTATACTGTTCAGTTCTCAAAGTTTTCCCTAGACTGGTATGTACTATTTTCCTTATTTCATCAGCTCAATATCCTGCTGTAAAAGTCCATTGGTGCTAGTTTGGTGTTTAGCCTGTATGGTTACCCATGGCTTTTGAATGTATGAAAACTATGGACCTGAATAGTAGATCTTTCATCCATTTTTTAACGTGTTGAATATTAATAGCATTCTAGAAAATGTTTCCTCATGTAAATTGGGTATTGATATATACCGATCAGTCATGACATTATGACAGAAGTGAATAACGTTTGATTATGTCCTTACAATGGCACCTGGAAGTGGGAGGGCCATATTAGGCAGCAAGTGAACAGTTTGTCCCTGAAGTTGATGATGTGTTGGAAGCAGAACAAATGGGCAAGTGTAAGGATTTTAGCGACCTTGGCAAGGGCCGCATTGTGATGGCTAAATTACTGGATCAGAGCAACTCCAAAACTGAAGCTCTGGAGGGATGTTTAGTTTGCCGTGGTCAGGAACTACAGAAAGTAATCCAAGGAAGGAAAACCAGTGAACCAGTGTCGGGGTCATGGGCGGCCAAAGATCATTGATTTACGTAGGGAGCAAAGGCTGTCCTGTGCAATTTGATCCAATGGAAGAGCTACTGTAGCTCAAAGTTAATGCTGGTTCCGATTTGAAAGTGTCTGAACACAGTGCATTGCAGTTGTGTATTGGGCTGTATATTTGCAGACCGTCCAGGGTGCCCATGCTGACCTGTATTCACTGCCAAAAGCACCTACAAAGGGCACATGAACTATGAACTAGACCACAGAGCAATGGAGGAAGGTAGCTGGTTTGATGAATCGCATTTTCTTTTACATGTGGATGGCCAGGTGCGTGTGTGTGTTGCTTACCTGGGAAAGAGATGGCATCAGGATGCATTACTGGGAAGAAGGCAAGTCGGCGGAAGCAGTGTAATGCTTTGTGCAATGTTCTCCTGGGAAGCCTTGGGTCCTTCCATTCATGTACCACAGGGGTCGGCAACCCCCGGCACGCGTGCCCGTTAAAGTGCAGCGTCTGGGCTGGTCTGGAGTTTTAAGATAATACAGAAACAGGGATCACACTAAAACTGTAAGTCCAGTTTACTTTTTTAGTACATGTAAATATATTTTGTGTGTGCAATAGTTATAAAATGTTTTCACTTACAGTTGTGCTGCTAACGGCAAGATAAACACATTCAAATAATTAGTGAGTTTAACTTATTATTAGCAGTACAACTATGAGTACAAAAACTGAAATTTGCTAATACCATGGTGCACTATTGTTCAATGGCACTCGGTTGTCTGATGGTTGCAAAAATGGCACTCGGTGTGTAAAAGGTTGCTGACCCCTGATGTACCACATACCTAAACATTGTTGCTAAACAAGTACACCCCTTCATGGAAACTGCATTCTCTGATGGCAGTGGCCTCTTTCAGCAGCCACACTGCAAAAATGGTTCAAGAATGGTTTGAGGAACACAACAATAAGGTGTTGACTTGGCCCCCAAATTCTCCAAATCTCAATCCAATCAAGCATCTATGGGATGTGCTGGAAAAACAAGTCCGATCCACGGAGGTCCAACCTTGCAACTTACAGGGCATAAAGGATCTGCTACTGACGCCTTGGTCTAGTGGAGTCCATTTCTTGACAGGTCAGTGCTGTTGTGGCAGCAAAAGGAGGACCTACTCAATATAAGGCGGGTGGTCATTATGTTATGGCTGATTTGGTATGTGTTTTTTGGGATGCCTGTCCATTTAATCCATAATCTGCGTCAGTGAGTTAAGTATGTCAGCACAGTGTCCAGTCATTAATTCAGTGTTGGATTTGTGAAATAAACTAAAGGAAAAGATGAACTTGTAATCTATCCTTAAAACGTGCCCTCTTGCCATTTTCTGTAAAGTCCATTTGTAGCCACACTACTGGTTGTAAAAGTTGGCATTATTAATCACAATGGTTTGCTGTGTATACTGGGAGACTTTGTAAGGCACGGACAGGGAACTGCTGATTTTGGAACAATTAGTATGGAATATTTTGTCAATTTTATATGTATGAAACCTTAACCCCTTCCGCCCCAGGATAAAAAAAAAAATGCTAGTGGTGTCCTTATCCATCAGTTAATTTATTACTTTCACATTGTTTTAAAGGTCATTTAAGGCTTTTATTTGTTACACTGGTTTAATAAATACCCTGCTCGCATATTGTTGTTGTAGGCTGATGAATGAGCAGACAAAATGTAAGGAAACGTTTTTTTTTTAATTGGTTTTAAATAGTTTTTGTAAAACCATTTATTAAAAACCTGTATTTTTTTCTGTGCACGGAAATAAGAAATACACTAACAGCTCTTATAAAAAAAAAAGCCATGTGGTCACTGTTTGATATTTATGATCAGATGTTTGGGAACCATCGCACAATGTGTTGGAAGCTGAGATTAACATCCGCTCTCTACAGAGCACTGTGCAACGGTGTCTTACCCTGTAATTATGGACTAGAATGAGTTAATCTCTAAATTATTTTATTCTGAGAATATTCTTGCATGTTGTATATTGTGTGTTTGCAATTTTTTAAGGGGCTGTGCTTTTGTTTATAATGCAGTCCCGGATGTGACATGATGGAGCTGAGGAGACGTTACCAGAACTTGTACATTCCCAGTGATTTCTTTGATGGCCAGTTCACATGGGTGGATGCTTTTCCTATCTCTCGTCATTTTCAGCTTGGTAGCTACAGTAATTTCTATGTAATGCACAAGGAAGTGGATCCTCTGGATAAAAATACGGCTGTACTGGACCCACCAGATGTGGATCACACATACAGTGCAAAGGTGTGGTGTTCATTGCTGTACATGAGAATGATTTGTGTTGCTTAAAGTGACACTAAACTCAGGAGTTGAATATTAAAACTGCATTCAAGTATCTTTTAACTATTGAACAAAAATGTATCTTTTTTGTGTGTATCTCAGCTGTAGATCCTCAAATCATCTCTGAATTGGTGCTGACACTGTCCTTCCTTCTGGAGGGTGGCTACTGTTGTTCCCCATGGTCCCTGTGTGTGTTGTAAAGTAGACACTGCTCCAAATTTACTCCCGTGATAGACCTACAATCTCAATACAAATTTTAAACTAAACATGAGATTGTAGTACATCATGGGATCGAGCTTGGAGTAGTGACTACTTTACAACACACACCGGCACCATGGGGAACAAATGTAGCCACCATCCAGAAAGGAGTGTCAGCACCAATTCAGAGATGATTTGAGGATCTACAGCCGAGTGATACACAAATAAGGTACAGTGTTAAAAGTACTTGAATGCATTTTTAAGTTAAGTGATACTTACAGTTGTGCTCATAAGTTTACATACCCTGGCAGAATTTATGATTTCCTGGCCATTTTTCAGAGAATATGAAAACCTTTCTGTCACTCATGGGTAGTGTTTGGCTGAAGCCATCTATTATCAATCAACTGTGTTTACTCTTTTTCAATCATAATGACAACAGAAACTACCCAAATGACCCTGATCAAAAGTTTGCATACCCCAGTTCTTAATACGGTGTGTTGCCCGCTTTAACATCAATGACAGCTTGAAGTCTTTTGTGGTATGTGTGGATGAGTTTCTTTATCTTTTCAGATGGTAAAGCTGCTTATTCTGCCTGGCAAAAATCCTCCAGGTCCTGTAAATTCTTGGGCTGTCTTGCATGAACTGCACGTTTTGAGATCTCCCCAGAGTGGTTCAATGATATTGAGGTCAGGAGACTGAGTTGGCCACTGCAGAACCTTCACTTTATTCTGCTGTAGCCAATGACAGGTCGACTTGACCTTGTGTTTAGGATCATTGTCATGTTGGAATATCCAAGTACGTCCCATGCGCAGCTTCCGGGCTGATGCATGCAAATTGTCCTCCAGTATCTTTTGATAACATACTGCATTCATCGTGCCATCAATTCTGACCAACTTTCCTGTGCCTTTGTAGCTCACACATCCCCAAAACATCAGCCATCCACCATAGTCTGCAACAACCCATAGTCTGCTTCCGATTTGGATGTTAATGCAAACCTTTCACCTCTGTGTTTCACTGTAGGAATGGTGTACTTTTCATCATAGGCCTTGTTGACTCCTCTCCAAATGTAGCGTAAGCGGGATACTTTGTGGCATTTGAGTAGTAATGGCTTTCTTCTGGCGACTCGAGCATGCAGCCCATCTTTTTTCAAGTGCCTCCTTATTGTGCATCTTGCAACAGCCACAGCACATGTTTTCAGAGTGTCCTGTATTTCACCTGAAGTTATTTGTGGGTTTTTCTTTGCATCCCGAACAATTTTCCTGGCAGTTGTGGCTGACAGTTTAGTTGGTCTACCTGACCGTGGTTTGGTTTCAACAGAACCCCTCATGTTCCACTTCTTGATTAGAGTTTGAACACTGCTGATTGGCATTCTCAATTCCTTGGATATATTTTTATATCCCTTTCCTGTTCTATACAGTTCAACTACCTTTTCCCGCATGTCCTTTGACAATTCTTTTGCTTTCCCCATTAATCAGAATCCAGACACGTCAGTGCAGCACTGGATGAAGGATGCAAGGTTCTGTCAGGAGGCCAGAAATGTATTGGCCTTTTATACACACACACACACACACTGACTACATGCAAACAGATCACAGGTGAGGATAGTTCCCTTTAAAAGCCATTCACACCCCTTTGTGTCAACGTGTGTGCATGTTATCAGGCCAAAATCACCAGGGTATGTAAACTTTTGATCAGCGTCATTTGGGTAGTTTCTGTTGTCATTATGATTGGAAAAGAGTAAACACAGTTGATTTGATAATAAATGGCTTCAGCCAAACACTACCCATGAGTGACAGAAAGGTTTTCGTGTTATCATTCATATTCTCTGAATGGCCAGGAAATCATACATTCTGCCAGTATATGGATTAACTTGGGACATGCACGTGTGTCTGCGCATGTGGGATGGGGTGGGGAAAAGTAAATATACAGACATGTCCCTAGAAGTTCTATGTGACTGAAACATTTGTAATGGAACATATTTTTATTATGTAAAACCAGTATATCCCACTGCCTTCAATCATTTAAATATAAAGAGCTACAAACTCCAGAGTTCCCTGCTATATCTACCCTGTTTCCCCGAAAATAAGACCTACCCCGATAATAAGACCTAGTACTATTTTTGGGAATTGCTAAAATATAAGACCTACCCCGAAAATAAGACCTAGCTGTGACCTTTCCCAGGGCCAGTGGTGTCATAAGGGGAAACTTGAAGAGCCTCGGGAGAGAATCAGCGGTGCCAACAAAGCCGGCGCTAGAGGAAGCGAGGCGGCAGCAGAGGGAGCAGAGCCGCATAAGCTGATGCTTTCTCCTGTCACAGGCGGAGTGATACCAAACTCACTCCACCTGTGAGGAATACTAGTGAAAGCGCGATTGGTTACCAAATTGCTCTTGGAAAGGTACGGCATCCCTGATCACCCTATTCTTAACTTTGCCATTTTGGATTATTTAATTTGGATTTGGATTTGCATTAACTTTGGATTGTTGTACATTAAAAAAAAAAAATAAGACCTATCCCGAAAATAAGACCTAGTGTGTTTTTTT